AGCATCTCGACCTGCAGGAGTAACGCACTCAAATTTAAATAATAAATAATATACACCACTGAATCTCAGGTTATGTACTCTAAAAAGATAAATGAATATAATCTAAGGAAATGGCTCCTACATAACCGGCCTCTAATTGGATTTTGGAGTACCACAAAAACAATTATCAAATATCCATTTAAAAAAAAGGAGCCTATAGTCAGGATTTCTATTCATTTCATGAATCCAGTCATCTATCAATATGAGTTGTGTGGTGTTACTCATCCTGTCTACATGATATCATCATGCCATCAGCGGAAGAAGACTCTTTGCTGCCGTCACTCTTCACATTCTAACAGCAGACAGATCTTGGTTATTGGCCTCTCCAGCACACTGGTCTGTGTTTTAACTTTGACAGCTCGAACCAGTCCTTTAGTGTCTGCCATAGCTTCTAGCACTCTTCCCAGGATCCAAGAGCTACGGGGAGCAGTAGGGTCAACTACCATTACTACATCTCCAGGTTTAAAGCTTCTCTTCTCCTTGCACCATTTCTGTCTTTCTTGCATGAGGGGTAAGTATTCCCGGCACCAGCGTTTCCAAAATAGGTCTGCCATGTATTGCACCTGTTTCCATCGGCGTCTTACGTACAGGTCCTTCTTGTCAAAAACTCCAGGGGGCAGAATTGGCTTGGTTTTTAAGAGCAAGATGTGATTTGGGGTTAGAGGCTCCAGGTCTTGAGGGTCATTTGAGACTGTTGTGATTGGTCGACTGTTCAAAATTGCCTCTACCTCACATAAAAGGGTTTGTAGCCCTTCTTCATCCAAAGTGTGCTGCTTCAAAACAGAATAGATAACCTGCCTCACACACTTTATCAGACGCTCCCATACTCCTCCATGGTGGGATGCTCCTGGGGGGTTGAAACTCCACTTTATGCCCTTTTGCAGCAGAGTTTCCTGAATTCTGTGCTGGTTTAGAATGGAGAGGGCTTCCTTTAACTCTCTCTGAGCTCCAACAAAATTGGTCCCATTGTCAGATCTTATATGTTTCACTTGACCTCTTCTGCATATGAATCTTCTCAAAGCGTTGATACATGAGTCTGTATCAAGTGAGTTGGCGACCTCAATATGCACAGCTCTGCTTGTCATGCACGTGAACAGCACTCCGTACCTGTTTAATGTGGTACGTCCTCTTTTGACTTGAATAGGGCCAAAGTAGTCCACACCAACATTGGTAAATGGAGGCATGTCTGGCTCAAGCCTTTCCTGTGGCAAGTCAGCCATCTTCTGCTCTCCAATTTTGGCTCTTTGTCGTTTGCACAAAACACAATCTCCCAATATTTTTCTTACAGCAGAGTTGGCTTTGATTATCCAATACCTCTTCCTAACTTCAGAGAGGATGTGGTTTCTTCCTCCATGTCCAGTTCTTTCATGCATGTGCCATAATATGAGAGTTGACACATGACAGTTTTTTGGCAGTATGACAGGGAACTTAGTTTCTTCTGGCATAGCTGCCCTCCTCAGGCGTCCTCCCACTCTTAGCACTCCATCCTTTAACACTGGATCAAGCTTGTAGAGGCTGCTTGACCTTTTGACACCACGTTGTGTTGTTTGCAGTGCTGTCATTTCCTCTGGAAAATACTGTCTTTGGGTTTGGCATATGATGGAATTTTCTGCCTTCTCAAGATCTTCCAGAGTAATGGTCTGTCCACCCAGTGTGGCCTTCATGTTTTCGATTTTCTGCTCAACATTGCTTTTGTTTTGAGCATCGGTGTTGGAGTGAATGTTGTTATTGTGGTTTACCAGTCTCAAGTAGCTCACTGTGCCATACCCCTGCTCACTTGCATCCGAGAAATGGTGTAGTTGTGCTTGGATCTGTTGGCCAAAGTCATTGGGCTTGATGCACCTTTTTACCTTGAAGTCAGTAATCTTCTGAAGATCTAGCTTCCATGTAACCCTACACAGCTCTTGTAATAGCAACTTGGCAGGCAGAGTGAAGGGTACAAGGAACCCAAGAGGATCATAGATGGAGCTCACCATAGATAATATTCCTCTCCTTGTGTGTGGTTGTTACTTGATGCTGACATTGAATGTAAAATTGTCATCTTCCACACACCATTGCACTTCAAGTGCTCTCTCAGTTGCGAATGGCGATCGGCCAGATGGGAGTGCAATTGCTCGGGACGCCATTGGCCCAAATTTGTATGGAAAAAATGACGTTGGCTCCCTCGTGTGGTCATAATGAACACCTTCGTTGAACACCTTCACCTTCACCTTCATGAAGACCTTTGTTGTTGTTGTTGTCGTCGTCAATCAATCAGTTGATATAGATCACCAAATGTATTAATGAGAGCACCTTGCATTGAATTGATAGCCTTACTGTTTTCTGTCATTATTACTCACCACCTTCAAAACACTTACACAATCTCACCTCTTCAATCTGGCTTTTAATGTGTGATTGTTTTTGTATTATTTGACTTTAACTATATATATATATATATCAGATGTGAGAATGGTTTCTTCTCCCTAATGACATTTATTTACATGTCACTGCTATCTTTGTAAAGGCACAGACTTTTGTATTATATGTTTCTATTCCATATGTGTGTATTTGTATAAATAAGTTCTACAGAATTCATGATATTTATGAATTAATAAAGCTAATTTCATTCAAATGTGTCTTTTCTTCAGTGAGATATGTTTATGGATTTCCTTGTGAGAGTCTGATTTGAAAAGTGCTTTAATATTTCAGAGTCTGACTAAAGCAACTTCAATGTTTGCTTTTTGGGCAAAGTCATCTGTACATTGTGTACTGTGCAAGTAATGTGGCACTCTACCTTTGTCCCTATATTTAGATAAACAAATTAATCCCCATTATTGCATTCAATAACTCATATGTTACGACTTACTGTTACTGTAGCACTGACCACTATATATATATATATATATATATATATATATATATATATATATATATAGTGCATTCAATTGAAAACACCATAGTGTTACAGTTAAATTATGTATTATATTTTAGTTAGCACTGCCTCCACGGCTATGGCATGATAAGAACTGCTCTGTATTCCTAAAGTTTGACCTTTCTGGCAAAATATTTAATTGATTCAGTATAAATGATGGCAACAGCAACAACATAAAGTAAGGTAAACACAGGTAAAAAAGCTCAAGTGGATACAAATCAGATGCATGAAACACATTGACTTTTGTAGATCCCAGGATTTATTTGTCATCAGCAGGTATGAATCAAATGTTAGGGTATCAATGACTTCTTGTAAACTAACATTTGTTGTTATGCAAGTCAACAACGAGATGTCACTCCACTGCAAAAGAAGAACAGGAATGATCCAGCTATTGAACCCAGTTGGATTCTTTGGGACTTTTTCTGAGCAAACATTCACCTTCATTGATTCAGTATAAAGGATGGCAACAACATGCACTAAGGTAAACGGGTGAAAAAGCTCAAGTGGATACAAATCAGATGCATGGAACACATTGACTTTTGTAGATCCCAGGATGTATTTGTCATCAGCTAGAATGAATCAAATGTTAGGCTATCAATGACTTCTTGTAAACTAACATTTGTTGTTATACAAGTCAACAACAACAACGAGATGTCACTCCACTGCAAAAGAAGAACAGGAATGATCCAGCTATTGAACCCAGTTGGATTCTTTGGGACTTTTTCTGAGCAACCATTCACCTTCATTGATTCAGTATTAAGGATGGCAACAGCAACAACATAAACACAGGTAAAAAAGCTCAAGTGGATACAAATCAGATGTACCATTCGCACAGGGAGGCTGTGGCACAGTGCTTTGGTGTTGGGATCAGGGGAGCACAGGTTCAAACCCCACTGCCGTCAGCATGTCGTTGTGTCCCTGGGCAAGACACTTCACCCCACAGTATTGAGTATGTAAGTCGCTTTGGATGAAAGCGTCTAACATGTAATGTAATGTACATAAAAGTATTTACATGAATGACGTATATATATATAAATGAAAACTATTTACAATATACATCAAATATAAAAGTCGACGTGAAAAATAAACTTCACCCCAAATTGCTCCTGTGGGGATTGCCCACAGTATTGAGTATGTAAGTTGCTTTGGATAAAAGCGTAACGTAAAAGTATTTACAATATACATAATGAATATAAAAGTCAACATGAAAAATCAAAATGATAACACAGCAAGTTGAAAAACATTGAAATGACTATTTACAATATTTACATAGCAACAGGTCATTGCTCCAACGCGTCAACAACAGCTGCAAAATGTTGGTAGCTGCTGTAGACAGTGTTCTTCTCCAGACCCTTTGAAGAAGACATCATTTTGACTGGGCAGAAGACTTTACGCCTGTACTTTTTATGCCCCTGGGTGGGTTGGCCACAGCATGTGCACGTGGGCAGCTTTTGAACCCGGGGCACTTTGTGTCCTACTCCCGAGGGCTCGTCTGCCGCCTTACGCTTGTAAAGTGTGGACCTCGCCCAGGATGAGGGAATGCACTCTGTAGGCATTGTCGGGGGGAAAGAAAAAAACACAGACAGGAGGGGCCAGCAATGGCTGGGCTTGGCTGACTGGCAGGCGGCAGGATGGGGCCAGGGAAAAGGGAGGGCACGGGTGGTCTGGCGACGGTGCTGGTGGCAGGCAGTATGGGACGTCCAGCAGGCACGATGGGCCTTGTGGAGGGGCCAGCAATCGCCCAGGTTGCTGCTGCGGATGGAGAGGGGGAGGGCAAAGGTCTGGGGGCTGGGGTCGGTCTTACCGGCCGTGATACAGGTGGCGGCAGTGATGACGGAGGCAGGATCATGTCCCTCCTTCCCTTCAACAATTTGGTCCCTGCCGTGCTGGGTGTCGGCACGTACTGCATCAGGGGGTAGTCTGGCGGAGGGAGGACTGCTGGCTGGTGTGGGGCTGGAGGCAAGTCGGCAGAGGAAACCGAAGTGGTTTTGGATAGCATCGCCGGCTGATTTGTGGCACGCAGGTTGAGGAGGCGCTCTTGAGCCCGGATAAAGTCCCGCACCGTCTTAATGTTTATTTTTGGCAGAGGGAAGCCAGCTTTGCTAAGGATCGGGTCGTCCACCAAAAGCCGGTGCTGGATCCTCTCGTAGGCCTTTAAGACGGTGGTCTTCTCGGGGCTCGTGCGCGAACCAGCGTGTACATTAGCCTATTGTTCTGCGCGCTAATGTCTTGCTGTGCCGGTGCATAACGAATGCCCATCTTCACACGCTGTATGACGGCAGCATCGACCAGGTTGTGGCGCTTCGTGCGGCAGTACAGGGTGTTGCCCCAGTGCGTCCTGTATAGCTCGTTGAACTGCTGCTGCCGTTTGTCGTGGTCCTCCACTTTAGTCCAGGCAGCCAGGATCGCGTTCCTCTGCTCTGTGACGAGGGACAGCTTGTCCTCTACGAGCCCAATGTCCACCAGCAGTGAGCAGAACCTCTCCAAGCTCGGGTAGCCGGGAAGAGGGTTTTGACTGCAGGCATCCTCCTGTTAAAGGAATGACATGGAAAATGTGGTCAATTGAAATGGATACATTGACCACCGATGCAGTGCATTTTCATTTCATTCTAGAAGACACCAAGTCACTTACAAAAGCGGGCGGGTTGACACTGGAGGTTTCGTCTGTGACGAGTGTGATGTGGGGCAGGATGGCATCCAGCACGTTGTCTCCCTCGTTGTCCCCGTCGCTCTGGTACGCCTCGTCCGCCTCTGGATCTGGAGTGGGCTGCCCGGGCTGAACCACCTCCTCGTCTGGACCGGGGCCATCGTGGATGATGTCGTCCAGTGTAAAGGGGCCAGATTCAGATTCGCCAGTGCTCTGGCTGAAAAGGTACTCCAACCCCAGCAGCTCGTGGGAATCCACCTCAGCGGGGGCCCGGAAATTCTCCTCCACAGTCTCTCCAAAAAGCTGCTGACAGCGGGTGTTGAGGCGGTGGATGAGAGGCGCCGAGTAGGTCCTGTGACGCCGTCCCTTGCCACCAAACACTGCGTCGGAGCTCCTGTCGCAGTTCCATCGTGCGATGCCACTTATCAGGTAAACCTGATAAGGGCGTGCTGCACAATGGGGACCTGAGAAGAGGAGGGCAGCAGAGTAAGGGAAAGCTGTTATTGTTGTGTAAATGTTAGTGTGTTATTGTTTACACCAAATCCATCATTAGATGCAACAAAAAAGAAAGAGATGGGCAGGCAACGTGTGACATCTGTGACAATTTTGAAGCGTACCATATTTGTATGTATTTGACATTTTTTAATTCCAACTGCTTTCCTGTTCCTACGCTTTTTGAAATTGTGCTTTTATTGCTTTTTATTATTAGACGTGTATATTGTTGTTATTATGAATGAAAGCGACTGCACTTGTGTACCTTGGATCATGTGGGGCAGAGACTTGTGGAATCCCTCCAGGCTGTTGCTTCCACGCAGACTCTTGTAGTAGGGCAGGTCCACACCGTTGATCGTTGTGGTACGGGCCACCCTATACATATTCATCCCTGGTGGATCCTGGATGCACTCCAGGTGTCTCTGCTGCCCTACCCACATCTCATCAATGGCTGCTGTAAAGGCACATATACATACAGTTTGTTATTCTCACTTTATATGCTACATCAATAATGTTTTTGTATGAGATCCTACCAGGTGTTTTAAAGAGGCTCACTCCACTCTGGTCCAGCCCAGCCGGGCCCTTCAGCTCCTCGATGGCCAGGTGGATGAGCCGGAACGTTTCCTGCGCTCCGAGCGTGACCCTCCGCACGTGGTGCTGCAGCTGGTCCCTCGTTACGTAGAGGCGGACGACATCCTCTTCCGACACGGACCGAAATGTGTCCGGGTCCTTGGCTCTGACGGCCTTGATGAGCAGCTCCAGATCCGTGCGGTTGTAGGCCAACACTGCCCCGGCCAGAGCGGACTTGAACACTGCGTACTTGCTGTGGGAGTCTGTGCGTACGGCTGCGTCAAAGCGGTGGATCCAGTGGAAAATGTCCAGACGCACAACCATGCCACCGTCGAACCACTCCTGGAACATGGTCTCCACGGCGGTAGGGCCCTGAGCGCGACAACACCCACGGTCAATGTAGAGGATCTTGGGGACCGGTTGATTGGCCAGCCGGAACCTTTCCATGACTCCACGGCACATGGGTTGCAGCTTCTGTGCGGACTCCTCGCAAGTCAGCACAAAAGAAACAATCTGGGAGTACTCGTTGCAGATGCTGGTAAACCACTCGGCCGAGCCACGTCCCTGCCCAGACAGCTTCTTCACCACCTGAAATGTATTTCAAATAATTGAATGATTATTATTATTATTATTATTATTTAAAGGAAGCACAATGTGGTAATTATATGTAACATCATCATTTGTATCAACTTAATGCTAAACTTTACTGCAATATGATTTGCATCATACAGTAAAGAATTATGTTCCCATTTACATACTTTCTTGGTGGAATCCATTTTCATCACCGTGCCAAAAGTGGAGAGGATCTGGCTCCGGTAATCCTGCACATTGTTCGTCTCTGCCAGCAGGAAGGCATGGCGCAAGAGCCGCGCTGTGGGGAGCTGTTTTTGGGCAGGTGGAGCCTGGAATGTCTGCCTCATTGCAGAGACGATCCCTCCGGGTGCAGCTATGGTCATCAGGAGGGTGGTGTACAGGTCCTTGCGCTGGAGGTACTCCTCGACATGGTTCTCCTGTACCTGCCGCCACACCTTCTCCATAGTGTTCCCTTCGGTCCTGTCCCTGAAAAGGCGCACCACATTCCTGTCTACGCCACGCCTGTAAGTAGAGTCACAATTTATATGGTAAGGTTGATTTGAGTGAAAACATTTTGTAAATGCACACATTATAGCATGTTATAGTATAGTTTGGTATAGAATGTGAAATACACACATGGTGGTAAGCACGGCAGGAAAGATGGCTTGGTGAGCCTCGCTGAGCTGGGACAAGATGGCGTTATCCCACGCAAGCCACCGGCCCACTGAAACACCCTCTTTGCTCCTGGCTGCCTTGGTACAGGGTCCGCAGGACAGGACCTCTGTGATGACCGTGTACCAACAGGACACATCGCAGATGAGACGTACCTATAAAATACACATGGAAATCAAAAGGAAGGCCAGCATAAAACGTTCAGTACCCATTTCATACATAGAAACACATTTTCAACTGTATAGTAATGTCAGAGAATTGATACCTTGGAGTGGTAGCCAAACTTTGAGAGGTGCACATTTCTTCCACTGCCGACACAGTTCTCTCCCCGCGGACACTTGATCGAGTACCTCCAAACGCCGACAGGGCGCCACACAAAGACCCGGCTCCTGAAGAACAATTGCGGAGTAGGCAGACCACCCCCGACAAAGCCAGGAGGTTCCGGGGGATAGAACCACATACGGTCAGATTTCATCACCCGTCGCCTCCTAATCTGACCTCTAATGTCCTTGTAGGTCTGTACGGGGGTATACAGCCCTCTCTCAGTGTCCTCTTTCAGCCAGGATATGTCTGCAGATGGGATGCCTCCGGGGTTCTCCCACAAACGCACCCAGCCCTCTAGATCGACCTGTAACACGCATAACATAAAATACATTAGAGACGTATAGGGTGAGAAGTTATGGTATAACATTATTTAATTAAGCCATTTTCCACTAGTACAACTATCTTTACTTCTGCGTCACAAGCCGTGGATGTCGAAGGGGACATATCTGGGTCAGCAGCAGGGACCGCAGGCTGCACAGGAGTGACTTCCGGGGTTTTGGCGGCGGCGGCGGCGGCGGCAGTAGTAGAAGCAGCAGGCCGGGCGGCAGAAGCAGGCCGGGCGGCAGAAGCAGGCCGGGCGGCAGAAGCAGGCCGGGTGGCAGAGGCAGCCCGGGTGGCAGAAGCAGGCCGGGTGGCAGAGGCAGCCCGGGTGGCAGAGGCAAGCCGGGTGGCAGAGGCAGCCCGGGTGGCAGAGGCAGGCCGGGTGGGAGACGCAGCCCGGGCGGCAGAGGCAGGCCGGGTGGCAGAGGCAGGCCGGGTGGCAGAGGCAGCCCGGGTGGCAGAGGCAGGCCGGGCGGCGGCAGCAGGCCGGGCGGCGGCAGCAGGCCGGGCGGCGGCAGCAGGAAGGACAGCAGCAGCTTCGGGCCCGACAGCAGTGCCTCCAGATCCATAAGCAGCTTCTCTGGGCCTTCTCTTGAACATATCTAAAAATGTACCAAACAAAGCACATTTGAATTAGGATTATTGTTTTTTTACATGTTTTCTTTCATATATTAACTGTGTCTCACTTGCCTTCTTCCACAGCCTGGCTTGCAGCTACCAGGTCAGCATCATCCCCTGGCCACGAGGATGAGTCCTGCATTCTCGTCTGAGGTTAGTGAAAACAAATGTTATGTAATGATAATTTGATGGCAGTTTTTAATGACCAAAATAAAACAACACATTTAGCAGGAGTGCTTCAAATATCAGTAGTTTGAACAGTTGTTATCGATATGACAGTATGATGTGACCATGATTTTCAACTATTCCTGAGTGATAACACATGATATAATCAATTAAACACTTACTTATTCCTTGTCCATTATGTATTTCCGGAACCTCTTCATCTGCACGCTGGTAATGTGGGCCACTGGTGTGTTCAACCACCTCTTTACAGAACGATGTGCCTTCTGTATCCTTTCCCTCTGGACATCACTGAATTTCTCAGGGCTGTCCTTTTGGGATTGGTACTGGGCATACACTTCCCACACCTCCTGAAAGGTGCTGCTCTCAAACCCCTTTTGGCCATAGATGCACCTGTCCACATTGGCCTCGAGGAGACAGGAGACTTGTGGGAAGCTCTCTGCATAATCTGTGAGGAAGTCTTTTACCCACCGGTTCCCCACATCTCCCTTCCGGTGTGGGTCTTCCAATTCAAGTTTATGCTTGTCAAGCAGACTGCAATAATAAACATCCATTTAGTGTCATCATCATAATAGCACTGCAATTGTGATGAGGAGAAAAGGAACTTTGTAAAGATGAATACGAAACTTTGATAATAGCCAAGGTTTAACAAAATACATATATATTCATTATAAGCGTGACAACAAAATGGTATTCAAACGCTTAGCAAACAATTGTATTAAATATAATATACTTACAACTTTATGTAGCCCACGTCATTTTCCACTAGCCAGTGAAAGGGTGCATTCAAATACTTGCCAAATGGCAAGACCAGCTTTCCAAGGCACTGCTGGCGTGAGGGCTTATGGGTACCCTTGGCTCTTAGGAGCTTCTCTGCTTTGGCCATGGCAGTGGCCTCACTGAGCAGCTCCACCGGAGGTGCGGGAAAAGCCTTTCCCTTATCCTCCCTATACAGACGGGCCTCTGCAGATGGCACCGCAACAGCCTGCTGTCGATCCCCTGGAGCTTGGGGATTGAGGATGCGGACAAGTGGTGTCGCCATCTCTGCTTCTCACTGCAACAACATACAGAAGTTGTATACCAAAACATGTTAGTTTACAAGAGGTAATTGATACCCTAACATTGGTTATACCAGATAGATAGAGACTTTAACTATCCCAAATTGGGAAATGGTTATGTTAGCACTGTGTTCAGGCATTAAAACGGTGGAATAAAGTATTGACACAATTACAGTAGAGAAGACATATGTCACAAATAATACCTATTTTGTACTGTTGGTATGTTTATACTACACGTTTATACTTATACTTTATATAATGATGTAAAGTATAGGTATCAACGTGTAGTGTATGTATTTTCAACTGTACTTTTTTACAGTAATGTAACGGTAAACACAAGCAGTAATGAGCTGGTTAACCCGCGATTAGATAGATAATGACAGAAAGTGAAGTGGGTAACGTTATAGCATAATTATACAACTAGTTTAACGGAGGTTTCATTGAGCAATGCTAAGCTTTAACTAGCGTCCACGGTGACGCGACGCGGTACCTTTCACTTTTAAAAGTAATGACATGACATACTGTACACAAGATAACACGGATCATGACAGAAAGTGTGCCTTAAACTGTAGTGGGTAACGTTATAGCATAATTATACAACTAGTTTAACGGAGGTTTCATTGAGCGATGCTAAACTAGCGTCCACGGTGACGCGACGTGGTGCCTTTCACTTTTAAAAGTAATGACATGACATACTGTACACAAGATAACACGGATCATGACAGAAAGTGTGCCTTAAACTGTAGTGGGTAACGTTATAGCATAATTATACAACTAGTTTAACGGAGGTTTCATTGAGCGATGCTAAGCTTTAACTAGTGTCCACGGTGACGCGACGCGGTGCCTTTCACTTTTCAAAGTAATGACATGACATACTGTACACAAGATAACACGGATCATGACAGAAAGTGTGCCTTAAACTGTAGTGGGTAACGTTATAGCATAATTATACAACTAGTTTAACGGAGGTTTCATTGAGCGATGCTAAGCTTTAACTAGCGTCCACGGTGACGCGACGCGGTGCCTTTCACTTTTAAAAGTAATGACATGACATACTGTACACAAGATAACACGGATCATGACAGAAAGTGTGCCTTAAACTGTAGTGGGTAACGTTATAGCATTTCAAACTAGAGTTTGATAGATATTTGACTGAAAGACGCTGTGCCCTAACTAGCGCCGTTAGCAGTAACATGGCCGGGTCCCGTCGGGTCATTGCCAAGGTGTATATAAATATATATATACAGTAATGAAAAACACAAGATAATGTGTTGTGGAAAGTATACTTTACAGAAAAAGTATAAAACGTACCTGTCAACCCAAGTCTTCGCTAGCGATATTCGCAGCAATCGCAGCAAACGAGCAGAGCAAAGTGGTGGGGTGGGGACGTGGAAAGTCAAGGTGTCTAATGATATTAGACGGTAAATATCAAATATATAGACATATATATATTAGGGCTGTCAAGTTAACGCGTTAAAAACGCGTTAACGCAAAAAAAAATTAACGCCACTAATTATTTTAACGCGATTAACGCATGTGTATTTTTTGTCCTCGGCCGCCGTAGTTTCAGAGCGCATCGAGTGTAAAATACCATCTCCATGATGATGCTGACAGCCCCGCTCCTGCCGCCCGCTTGTGGCAGACCACACTTCCACGCTCACCGGCAGGCCCGGCCATCGGGAGGACCGGGAGGGAGTGTGTATGTGTGGCGCGACTCGCGCGAGCGAGGCACACCTTACGTGTTGTTGTTGTTAGCATCTGGTGCTAGCTAGCGCTAACGGATATAAGGAGCTGTTTCAATGACATTTCGCCGACAACTGCGCCGAGCACTTGACTTTATGCAGGTAGCCAGACAGTGGGACATTGTATGAAAAGTCAGCACGGATAGTGCGCGCAACATGATTGCAGCGTCCAGGCAGCTCCCATTCGAGCATATATGCCTTGAGCTGCACATAGCTCCAACGATCCATCACAGTGTCTCCACATTCTCACACACACACACACACACACACACACACACACACACACACACACACACACACACACACACACACACACACACACACACACACACACACACACACACACACACACACACACACACACACACACACACACACACACACACACACACACACAGTATTATTGTATGAGAGAGGTTCCAGGTTGAATTGAGGCGAATATTTGTAATGTTCAGAGGTTGTGTTTAATATTCATGAGAATATTTGTCATTGTTCAAATGATAATAAACAAACATATAAAGCATATTTGTCCACTCATATGTTGATAAGAGTATTAAAAACTTGAAAAATATCCCTCTAAGGTACATTTAGAACAGATAAAAAATGTGCGATTAATTTGCGATTAATCGCGATTAACTATGGACAATCATGCGATTAATCGCGATTAAATATTTTAATCGACTGACAGCCCTAATATATATATATCTATGTCATTCAATCCCGATCGCTGATCGCTGTGTATAAACGTTCCTTTACTCGATTTGAAATTTTGAATTTCATATCACGTGGAGAACCCGCCCACTCCAAACACTTTATCGACTGTGGACTTCCAATCACATGCGAGTACAGCGACTGTAGACAGTTAAGCCTTCCGATTGGCCCAAAGTCTACAGTCGCGACTGTGGACTTCCAATGGGATGGAAATGACTGTAGACTTTTGTCGAATCGGAAGGCGTAACTGTCTACAGTGACTGTGGACTTTGCACTTCGGTTGACTCGACGTCTGGGAGTCGATCTCTGTCCAGGTTCAGCTCCTTCACTTCTTTAGCTCTGTCAGCTTCGGGAATTGAGGACAGCACCCTGCGACTGTTGCTTATCCATTTAGAGAAGTGGAAACCTCCCCTCTGACATGCAGCTGTGAGCTCTTTGGCCAGCAGGATAGCTTCTTCCTCTGTAGCAACAGACTTTAGGCAGTCATCCACATAGATGTTTTTCAGTATTGTGTCAATCACTTCAGGTCTGAAGTACTCCCTATTATCCATTGCTGTTCTTTTTAATGCGTAGCTAGTGCAGCTGGGTGATGACACAGCGCCAAAGAGATGCACAGTCATGCGGTACTCAGAAGGGGGAAGGCTTGTGTCCCCACCAGGCCACCACAAGAATCTTAAAAAGTCTGTATCTTTTTCGGGCACCTTGACTTGGTGAAACATCGCTTGGATGTCCCCCATCATTCCTATTGGCTCCTGGCGGAATCTGGTTAGTAATCCTAAAAGGCTGTTAGTGAGATCAGGACCCTGCAGCAGTTCTGAGTTTAAGGATGTGCCTTTGAATGATGCTCCACAGTCAAAGACCACTCTGAGTTTTCTTTTCTTGGGGTGGTAGACCCCATGATGAGGTATATACCAGACTTTACCATCCTTTTGCTTCAGCTGCCCCTGTGGCACTTCTTCAGCATAACCTTTGTCAATTACATCACTGAGAAATCTGGTATATTCCTCATGAAATGATGCATTCCTACGAAGCTTTCTTTGCAGGCTGGAGAGACGTTGCTCAGCAACGTGGCGATTATCTGGCATTGAAACATCATTCCTCCTGAAAGGTAATCTTAGACTGTAGTGTCCATCCACAATGTTTGATGAGTCTTTTGCTATTTGCATAAATTGCTTGTCCTCTGCTGACATTTCTTTTGTGTCCTGATAGGCCTTTTCACTGAAGTCTATGTTGTATTGTGTGATCAGTAACTCCTGTAAATTGACCAAAGAAATTCTGTTCACGGAGACGGAATTGCTGTCCTTTGCGATTCCTCCTCTCAGCGGGCCATTGACCACCCATCCCAGTAAAGTCCTGCATGCGTATGGGCCTTCTCCTTGGCTATTAATAATTTCTAGCGGTTCCATAACTTTGGGTGCATTGGTACCAATCAACATGCCGATTTCTGCATCAATGGTAGGGAGTTTGATTTGACTGAGGTATGGCCACTTTGATAGATCCTTTTGATTGGGAATGTTATGTCTGGTTACAGGCATGATTTTCTGGGTGTAGATTTCTGGGAGAGGGATGAACCTGTTGCCATGTAGCTCACTCACTTCCAGTCCTGTGATGATATGACTGCTCAGTCTTTTCTTGGCCCATGGTGCGAAGAAGGATGTTTGTTTTCTTTCCTGACATGTTGAGCTGGTTCATGAGCTTGCTTGTGCAGAATGAAGCTGTACTTCCAGGGTCAAGGAATGCATACGTTTGAATAATTTGATTTCCTTTGTTAGATTTTACTTTAACAGGCACAATAGATAGCACACACTCCTCTTCCACTTCACCGGCCCCAATATGCCCACATGCTTTTAGAATAGCCTTCTCTCCGGTCCTTGAGGTTTCAGACCTTTCACCTCTTTCCAATTTTCTTTTCCTATATGGAGCACAGTAGGGTGAGATTGGTTGCACACTTTACATGTTAAGCGGTTATTGCAGTTTTTGCTCATGTGACCTGGTACAAGACATCCAAAACAGATTCCTCTTTCCTTTATGAAGCTTATCTTTTCTTTGTGCATTTTCTGTTTGAGTGAGAAACATGCATCCATTGTATGTCCACCTGAACAGTACAAACAGGAAGCTTGGGAGGTGCTGCTGTGAGGCTGGGGAGATGTGGACTGGCAGTCAATGTTTGTAATACTGGTGGCAAAGCTGCTGCTAGTGGATTTTGGCCTCTTGTTAATACTTGCTTTGAAGCCCAGCTTTGCTGTGTTGACAGTTTGGTCCTGTATACAGCCAAAGACAGGGTCTGTTAATATTTTTACATGATGCTCAATAAACTTGACAAGGTCGCTGAATTTGACCTTGCTGTGCCGCCTTTCCATTAGCCTGTAGACTTCTGATTGCCACCTCTCTCTGAGTTTGTATGGTAACTTTGTAAGCAAGGATTTAAGATTTGAAGAAAGATCCAATTCCTCCATGCAGGTGATTTCCTCCATTGCATTACAGCATCCTCGTAAGTACAATGCAAAAGCCTGTAAAGCCTTGGGGTCCTC